TCTGGAGTCTTGTCTGGTTTCATAAAGAAAGTGTCCAAGGAAGCTTGGATAGATGTTCTCCAGGGAGATGGGCAATGTGGTGAACTTGTTTGCTGGTGTAGCGTGGTGTGGCATGGCATTGGATCAAGTGTAGTGAAGTCGAAACTGAGTGTCAATTTATAAACATTGTAAGTGTGAAATGTTGTAACTCGAAACATTGTAAGTCGAGGGCTGCCTGTGTGTCACATTCATGTTTTGATAATGTATTCCCTTTTTTAGCATGTAAGCACATTTACCTAACACCATAATGACTGTACCTACATTAGCAGAAACAAAAGAACAGAGATTATGAAATGAGGCTGCTAAAATATTGAATTATTTTGTTGTTCATTGTCTAAATTTATTAATTTAAAGTTCTGGTAGCTTGCTTTGTGTCACCACATATGCTAATTTAGGAGAGTCTTTCTCAGAGTGTGCCACCTGCAAAGAAGTCTGAAACTGTCCCATGACATTACATACCTCAGAGCTTCTACAGGTCAGAGATTTCCCAGAATTTATTGTGACTGTGACTCCAGGAAATTTCACCACAGCTCCACTCCCAGCCCTGCACTGCTGCCCAGTGCCTGGTGCAGCCCTGGCTGAATGCCCCACATCCATCCAAATGCCAGGAAAAGCCACAGCTGCCCCAGGGGGCAGTGTAGTGCTGGGAGCTGCAGTGAAATTTGGGGTGGCTGCAGTCTCCTCCCAGCGCTGCCGGAGCCTGCTCCGAGCCCAGCTGCCAGCAAGAACAGCCCCACGCAGTGCTGGCTCTGGCTCCACCCTGCAGCTGCCACCCACCCCACACCACACAGATCCGGGGGCACATGCCCTCCCCCCTGCCCCACCAAGGTGCAAGCAGCAGTGGGAGCTGCCCCCACCCAACAAGCCACCCTTGCCCCAGCTGGGCAGCACCTGCCTCTGCCCGCTTCCTCACTGCGGCAGGCGTTGATCAGTCCCCCCTATACCCCTTCCTGCCCCCCCTCCCCTTCCACCACAACAGACTTACCAGCTGATGGCAGCTGTATTGGATATCAGATCAGTATTGTCCAATGTGCCTCCTTAAGTATCGGCTATCGGTATCGGCCCCCAAAATCCATGCACCCCTAGTAACAACCCTCCTTCGCTCTGCCCGGTGTCTGGCTAGCTTTGTGCACTCTGTCTGTTGAGGCTCCATCTAGACCTTAATATTGGTTCCCCAGCTCTTCTTGGGTCTACCTCTTTTTCTGTTTCTCTCCACTGCACCCTGCATTATGGTGTTGGCAAGAGTGTCCAGCCTTCTCATGAAGTGTCCAAACCACTGCAGCTTCCTTCATTGCACAACCTCCAATAATGATTCATAGGTCTCAATTTCTTGACTGATTTGCCTCTTGACAGACTCACTGTCCATGTCAGAACTGAGGCATTTGAATTGAGCAAGAACCTGCAGGGACAAAATCAGGAAAGCAAAGATAAAGAAAGATCTGTACCTGGCAAAGGAAGTTAAGGACAACAAGAAGAGGTTCTATAAGTATGTTGGCCAGAAAAGAAGAACCAAAGAAGCTGTGGGTCCTCTGTTAACAAGCCCGGGGGGAACTTCTAACTGAAGATACAAAGAAGGCAGAGCTACTCAACAGCTACTTTGCCTCAATCGTCACAAAAAATTTAGCTGCCAGACATATAATAGGGACTATCTGGATAAGGAAGGGGGGCACAAGCTGTGGGAGAATATAACAAAAGAAATGACCAGAGAGCTTTTTTTGGGTCTGAGTGAATTCAAGTAAGCAGAGCTAGATAAGCTTCATCCAGGGTCCTGAAGGAACTGACAGAGGTCGTGGGAGACGGGTTAGGTACCAGGGGACTGGAAAAGAGCTAACATAGTACCTCTCTTCAAAAAAGGCAAAAAGGAGGACCCAGGGAAATACAGACTGATTAGTCTCACCGGGGAAGTTACCGCAGCGTATTCTAAGGAAGGCCATTTGCAAGCATCTGGAGGAGGAAAGACTGGTGAGAAGCAGCCAGCATGGTTTTATGAAAAGCAAATTGTGTCAAACAAACCTGATCTCCTTTTTCAACAAACTACTTGGGTGGATTAAGGGAAGGCTGTGGATATAGTATGTTGACTTCAGCAAGGCTTTTGACAAGGTCCCACATGACCTTCTCATAAGCAAATTGGAAAAAATGTGGGCTAGTTAAAACGACTGAAAGGTGAATAGATAATTGGCTCAACAGCTGTAAGCAAAGGGTAATTATAGTTTCATAGTAGTTTGGGGTCAGAAGGGACCTGAACGATCATCTAGTCTGACCCTCCACCACTGGCAGGAGCACACGCTGGGATCACATGACCCCAGACAGGTGTTCGTCCAACCTCTGTTTAAATTTGCCCAAGGTAGGAGCAAGGACCACTTCCCTAGGAAGTTGGTTCCAGATCCTAGCCACCCTAACAGCGAAATTATTAACTGGTCCATGTCAAAATGGCAGGAGGTTTCAAATAGAGTCCCACAGGGGTCTGTCCTGAGCCTGGTTCTGTTCAACATGTTTATTAATGATTTGGATGTTGGCATAGAAAGCGTCTTGAGCAATTTTGCAGATGACATGAAACTGGGAAGGACTGCAGACACACTGGAGGATACAAGCATAATTCAGAAGGATCTTAACAGGTTGAAAAGTTTTGCTAGAGCTAACAGGATGATGCTCCATTTAGACAAATGCAAGGTGCTACACCTCAGGAGGTATAATCAAAAACACAAATACAAAGTGGGGGACACTTTGCTCAATGGCAGCTCTACGGAAAAAGACTTGGGAGTCTTGGTAGACCACAGTCTCAATATGAGTCTGCAGTGTGATGCAGCTGCACAGAAGTCCAATACAGTTTTGGGAAGCATCAACACAAGCATTAGGTGCAAACACAGGAGGTGATAATGCCTCTCTATTCAGCACTTGTTAGGCCTCATCTGGAGTATTGTATTCAGTTCTGGCTCCACATTTGAAAAAGGACATGGAGAAGTTAGAGAGGGACTAGAGGTGGGCAACAAAGATGATCAGGGGCTTGGAAGGCAGGTTATATGAGAAAAGGCTGAAGGAATTAGGCAGGTTCAGCTTGTGGAAAAGTTGCTTAAGAGGGTGCATGACAGCAATCTTCAAATACTTGAAGGACTGCCATAAAAAAGAAGGGAAGTACCTTTTCTCTTTTGCTGCAGAGAGGAGGACACAGACCTATGGCTTGAAGTTGTAGCAAAGTAAATTTTGACTGGGTATCTTGAAAAAAATTCTTCACTGTTAGAATAATGAGCCGGTGGAATAGATTCTCCAGTTGTGGACTCTCCATCACTAGAGGTGTTCAAAAAGAAGTTCGACAGTCCCTGGTCAGGGATGATCTAGGCCTAGCTATGCCTGCTTTCTACCATGGGTATTTTGCATGTTTCTGGGATCTGCTGCTTGCTCCTGCCCATCCCCCTCCCTTTTTTCTGCTATAGGTGTCAAGATGTTTTTAAACCTCTTCAGAGGCATTGGGTGTTGGCTACAACTAAGACTGTATACTTCAGCTGGGGTGTGCTGAATCTCCTGCTAGGAGTCAAGCTGGAGGTTCCTGGCTAGAGGGCCTTACCCCTCCACTCAGAATCAGACCAATCATAATATTTGGGATTAGGAAGGAATGTTGCTCCCATGGTCAGATTGGTACAGACTGGGGCGGGGTGGTGGGGGGGGGCTGACTTCCTCTGTATCAGGGGCATGGCCCTCTACCTGGGATGTCTTGAACATATATTGACAAAATTTTATAGAAGCAGGAACGCAGGCTCCTGTTATTCCCCTGCTTTACCTGTGGCAAGTTAGGATGTTAGGTCTATATTGTGTCAGGACTGAGGGCAATCTTATATAGAATTTAAATTATGGTTGTATAGGATGGTTTGGATAGGGATGATCCTGCCTCAGGCAGGAGGTTGAAATTGATAACTTCTGGAGGTCCCTTTCAGCCCTACTTCTCTATCACTAAAATGCTATATGTACATTTTAGATTTTAAAAAGTCTTCCTTGTAAGGCCCAAGCAGATATATAACTAAAAGTTGCTTAGTGAGTAGTTTTGCAGAGACTCTTGAGTATTGTATTCAAGTGAAACAGTTCTCAGTTATTAGAATGTTTTGAATGTGTTTACCTGGAAGGACTGTAACAGATCCATCACTCACCTCAGGCTGGCTGCATTTTTTAAAGAATTTGGGGGGCTACATAAAGCTGGCTGCCTAAAATCTGCCCTAGCCAGGCAAAATGATCTGCCACCCCATATTTAGCTTTGTAGATTCCATAGCCATTTCCTCTCTATTTTATTTCTATTTCACTGTTTTCTCCTACACAAGACAACATCTTGGTCCACATTGTGCCATCACAGGGTGCAGCACAAATAGAGTACAGGACAAAATTCCAGTAAATAAAATGCAATGCTAATCCTATTCTCTTTCTTTCTCTCCCATCTGAAAGTTCAGGGTTTTAAGTAGATGTTATCCTAAATACACATAACTGCTAATAGACCATGACTGTGTAGGGTCAATTTTCTCCATACATCCAGATGATGACCATGCTTCTAGTGCTGAAAGTACCATGCTGCTCTGTGGTAAACACAGTCTATTGCAGACTTATTGTTATAGAGGTAGTGAAACCAAGTCAGTCATTAAAAAGGATAGTCTTGGCCCCTGGACAAAAGGTACAATCCTTCCTCTCTCAGTCCTTTGTCAAGCAATCTAAACAGCAATACTGACAGGTCACTTTCTTCCGTAGTTGTACCGACACTCAAGAAGGGACCAGATGAGTAGGTAAAACTATATAGGTGGACATGTTTACACACATTACAAACACATACAAAGAAAGTACTGTACCCCAAACATGCCGTACCAGCATCTCCCCTCCCACCACATTTTTTCTTGGTATTACCCCGATTAGCTTGTAAAGCATGACAACCTTCTGTGAGATTTTGCATGTTTCAATTCTCCCTTGTTCTTGTCCTTTTCGCGCAGTCGACCTCAAAGACAGAGACGGGAAGCACATGGAGAAACACACAAGCAAGGCAGGTATGCTACTAAAGATACAGCATCCCAGTAGCCACTACCTCTCACTAGCTCTTTTTATTATTGCATGTCAGCAGCAGCAGTACCATTATGCCTTAGGCACCATCTAGAAGGGGCAGAATTTGAGTAAGCAAATAAACTGTGGAAGCCTCAAGCTTCAGTTGTGGTTTGGAGCTGGGCATCACAACCTGTTCTCTCTGTTTCCCATGGTATTAATAGGTGTCTGTGCCCAGAGACCTGTGCAGAGAAGTGACTCTCTCCCTTCCAGGAAGCGGAGTGGGGGTGTACAAGGGGGGGGACACACAACCCCAGTGTTAACCCTTTCACAGATGCTCTCCAGTTGGCACCAGTTTTAGGCAAGTTTTATCTGATAAGAAGAATGTGGGGGCTATGTAGCACTGCGGTGGGTATCTTCTGCTTCTGCACAAGGAGGGAGAAGCTGGCAGCCATCTTGTAGCACAGTGTCTGTGAAAAAGCCAGCTCTAGACCATGACTCTGGAAAAAATCTTTTTTTCTACATTCTGCCTTCCAAAAATAAGGTGTGTGTTTTATCTGAGGGGGTGGGGGGTGGAATGTGGGAAAATACTGTATGTAGCCTTTGGAATGGCTGATTTGGTGGCGTGGTTTCTCCATCACTGGTAATCAAGAATGAAGTCTCTTTAGAAGACATGATCTAGCTCAACCACAAGTTATCAGGTAAAAGTCTATAGCCTGGGCTGTGCACTAGGTGTTACAGAGAGGTGGATAATCACAGCAGTCCTTTTTTGACTCTAAGATGCCTTGCCATCCCTTATGCAAGCTCCTATGAAAACCAGAAAACCCTTTCCTCTAGTCTCACGGGAGACTGTTGCTGTCCAGCTCCCAAAATACCTTGTGTGTGTGACTTGTTTGCTTTTTATTGAAAAATTTCTCTTTTTGTTCTGAGTCATTAAAAATATATGACTGAGATCAGTGCCAAGTACAGGCTGTGGCACCAGCATCATATAATAGATGCATTGTAATCATGTCAAAGCAGGAAAGGGAGTACTGTCAAGAAGGACCTGGGTAGAAGCTGACAGAACCAAATGCCTCCCAGAGAAACTGAGCGAGTTTGGGAAACAAACTGGATTCCTAGATGTCATCTAGAAATCTAACAAATTACTGACATTCTCCTGTGGGCCCTGGGCCTGTGCTCACCAATGTTGTGGCACAGAGTAGCTGTGGCTTGCATTAAGCAGGTTTTGAATGGAATATACAGTATCTGGGTCACTTGTAATCTTCTACCTCAGCCTAACCTATACAAAGGTTGCAATCTTTCTGTAACAGAAGTACTGTACTATGTCAGTCATAGCCACTAATACAGCTGTTGCCATTGCTACGTCAGAAAATGCCATTTGTTCCCTTCTCTTCAGTTCTGTCCCTCAGATAGTGAATGCAGTCTCCTTAGCATGGGTATTAAGCAGAGCCAAATTTAGATACTCACAAATCTCAGGGCTGCTCAGTGCAAGCTATTACATCTGAAAGTCAATAGACAAAACTGACTCTTAGTGGTCTGTTAAAAGTCAATTACTTATAGCACTCACAAAACATACAAAACCCTCACACTCAAAACATAAAAGGCAGAAGCTTCTGTTGCTTTCTCAGCAATTGTAGATTGTAAGCGGGTGAATAAAATGGGGAAGGGAAGTGTCAAGATCTTTTTTTTTAATTCTAAGAATAGGAAGGAAGAAAGAATTAATATATTGGATGGCCTGAAATGCTTTTATCCAAAATAGCTTTGGTTAAAAGCCTGTTTTTGAATGAACCTAATATTTTTCACAAAACAATATTTTTTGTTGGAAAGCTTTTGATATTTCTTAGGGGAGGGAATAAAAAGAAGAGAATGGAAAATGTATTATTTAAAAGAGGAACAGTTTTTTTCATTTGTTTTGAAAAAACAAAGCAATTTTGATTTGGGGTTTTAATTGGGGGGCGGGGGGAGGGAGGGGAGAGGTGTGACCTTTCCTCCTACTTCACATGTCATTTCCTTTCCCATCTGAGAAGGGAAGAAAGAAGCAATGGGGAAGGTAAGGGTGGGGAGAGGGACAAGAAACAAAACCATATTCTTTCACTTTTCAAAAGCAAACATCTTCTCATGTCCTGTCACCCCGTTCAAATTTGAGTCCAAAAATGGGCTCAGACTATTGTTCAATCTGTAGCCTTAATGAGGTCTTCACTGGTTCATGGTTTCCCCATACTTGGGAAAGGCAATGGTTTCTTCCACATTTGCATATGCACATGGCGTTTGTGTTGTTACACTATCCCCACATTGCACGACAACTTTAGTCTTACTGACCTGTGTTTGGAGGCTGTTCAAGCTTTTCTGTGTTGGTCAATAAAGCTGTGTGCCTATAGGGAGATGTTTGGCAGTTTTGATATTCATGCTAAATCCTGATCATCTCTGATCCGGGTCATCTCTGATCATGACTGTCATATTTTTATTTGTGTGGCTGTCAGAGTTACATCCAGTGGCTGCATTGTAGATAGGAAACTTTTCTGTGATTTTAGTCTATGCAGTGTGGCTGTGAAGTTGGTGACTCTTGTCTTCGACCTTCCCCGAGACCCACAGCAGGAGCATTCACATTATGGTCCCTGCCAGATTCCTTGAATCTGTAAATTCAGCTACAAACCTAATATGAAAATTGTTGGCTTGGCTATTTTGTTTAAATCTGAATAAAGTCTTCATTTTTCCCCACATTTTAATACAAAATAAATCAAACAATTAAATCCAACATTTTTTTCCTTCCATCTTTTTCTCAAAAATTGTTCTATTGGTTCCACATTCACATCAGCAAAAATCTCCACAAGTGGGTACCCATTTGATGTACCTTAGTATTCGGAAGACCAATAATTCAGGCATATAGAGACAATAGCTGTTTTTGAAAACATGTTTTCAAATGCAGTTCCTGGACCCTGAGACAGGGAACACAATACAGGACTTGAGTAGTAACAGAAGTCAGAAATATTGCTGACTAGAAAATAGCCATACTATTTTGTGAACAAAGATATTTTTGCTCCTATTCAGAATTTAAAAAAAACACTTATCTTTTTCTTTCATGCAAAATTGACATCTCAGAATAGAAGAGCTGGGACTTGAACCTGAGTCTTTCACATCTCTGCTGAGTGCCATAACTATGGGCTATTGGCTATTTTTGTGGCTGATAGAATAACCCTCCCCTGCTTACCTGCCTCTCTCTAATATTTTCATCAAAACCTATGCATTCCACAAAATATTTCAGCTTCAGCGACATAACATTTTCATACGAGTTCTGTTAAATTATCTTGACCAACTCTAGCTAGTAGCCCTGCAGGGCAATAACAATCAGCCCCTCACCTTTCCCTCTCCCTTCCCCAAGTGTTATTTCTTCTAGGCTTTTATTCTAGTATTTCAGGTATGTTTTTTAATGGAAGCTGGCACAGCACATTGACTTCAGTAGAGCCATGACAGTTATACCCCTTGATTTTACCTTCACATTTTTGGCTTTTTCTTCTTCAAATAAAATAACAATACCTTTGTCCCCTGTGCATCCAGAAAGCTCCTATATGTCTACACTCTTGCCATTCCAGCTTTGGAACTCAGCTCTCAAGAGCTCCTGTTCACACCAAGCACTGATTCAGTATTATCACCCCATTCCCCTCAAGGAGTGATGCACTGTAAAATGTAAAAAGGGATGGATGAAGATCCAAGGCCATGTAGAGCCTTTTATATCTGCCAACCTACCCAAGTTCCTTTTAACTCCTACATGCAAATGAATCTGTCAGGTCTGTTAGAAGTCCATAATCTCAGTTCCTGTAATATCTTTCTTTTGGAAATAATAACATAAGTTTCAAATATTACTTTTTACAGCCACAGAAATGAACTTTCCTCAGGAGGTCTGCCATCTAGGTCCAAACCTACAGAGTTTTTTAGACATTGTTGAAACTTTAGGGTACTGCAATAATGTAGTAGTATAGACACATACACAGACATACCCACTCTCTAAAAACAGTCCTTGCCCCACAGAGTTCAGAGCCTATACATAAAATGAAACAACAATGATGTATAAAACAAATACGTGGGAGGACAAGCAGAAATCAGATCCCAGACTGAGGCCATGTATAAACATTCAGTTTCTCTTGGGACTGTTGCTGTACTCCTAGTAGAAACCACAGTGTAGAGATGTTCAGAATTTTTCTCCCAAAGCAAAAATGGCGGTTGCAGGAAAAAAATAACTCTGGACTAACTGGGGTTAGATCATTCTCAGAAGAGTTTCTCCTAGGAAAACAAATGTTTGTACACATTCCCCTTGGAGAGAAACCACAGCAGAGTCTTCCAGCATCCCAAGCTGCTTTGTTCCTGCCTCCATCCCTGCCCCCTGTGCTTCCTATGGAGACAGTTTTGCTCAGCCTGGACTCTACTGTTTTAGCTGAGCTGGGAGCAAAACAAGCTCCCTTCATAATCCCTACATAATGGTGCAGGGAGACAGGCTGATCCTGAGCAGCCTGTGTCCAGCAGTCAGGGCTGCACTGTGCACTGCTGTCATCTGTCTCCAGGGAGCCTTCAAAGCATACTGAAATGTGAGCACAAGGGTCACCTGGCTGCACAGCACCAGCACTGCAAGCTCTCTGCTCCTCAGGGGCTTAGGATTCAAATGTCTGTTCAAGGATATCAGGGTCAGTTTTTCTACCAGGAAAACAAACTGGGAAGTTTTCTCCCAGATCATATGAATGTGTACACTCAATCTGAGTGTACACATAAAACAATTCAAAATACAAGGCACATCCTTCCTTACCATTTTGAAATATTTGAGGACCTTTGAAAGTTTAAAGGTATCTTGGTAAAAGCTATCACAACCTAGTCATATTTGCTACATGTACACAGATATCTGTCCCAATTAGTAATATGTAAACTATTTGGCACTTTACAAGACCAATTTTTCCAAAGCAAAAAACCAGTTATCTGAAAAATTGATTGAGAAGGAAAACATAAACATAAAAATATGAATAGCAATTGACAACTGTTTAAGAAAACTTTATCATCTTCCCCAAAACACCCCAAATCCTACCATCATTAAAGGTATTGTCAGTTAAAAAAAGTCTTGGTTAAGAAAGGAAGTGAAATAAAAAGTCCTTACTATATTGTCAGATGAAACTGTTTACTACTGAGATTACAAATTTAGTTGACAAAAGTAACTGTGTTGACATAACAGATTTCTATGAGGCCTTTGTCTTAGGCTTACATGATACTGTGATTAAAAATTAGCATAATACAATATCAGTGTGGCCCTTAATAGATGGATTAGAAATGATTAACTGATAGATCTCAAAAGGTGGGTGAAGGAGAAATATTCACTCAAAGAGCAGGGAAGCTGGGCCCAATGATCTCACGAGGTCCCTTCCAGCCCCAAACTTCTGTGAATCTGTGTCAATGGGAGTTTATAGTGAGGGACTATAGAAAGAAAACATAAAATAGTTGTTAGTAAAGTTTACAGGTGGCACAAAAATTGTTAGATTGGTATACAATGATAAGAACTGGTCAATATTAGAGTGCTTGGAATGTATGGGCATCTGGGTTTAATGCAAGGTCATACATTAAAAATAAATAATGTTCATCATACAGGGTAGGGGGATGGATTTTGAAACGAGTGACTTCTGGGGCTCCTGGTGCACAAGTCATGGAATCCGAGCTTGCAATGTGACATGCAGGCTAGGAAAACAAGACTATCCAATCCTTACTTATATAAAGATAATATCAAGTCGAAATAAGGAAAGGTTATTACCACTACTTATAACATTACGGTTCCTATACACATTCAGGGAGCCTGCTCCAATGTGCTGTAATTCCAGCACGTTGAAGCAGACTCAATCGAGTCTGCTGGAGCGTAGAAATTATTGTGCTCCAGGACCCCCCAGCATCATGTGTATCAGCGTCCCTGCACTGAAAAATAGCGGGGCGGGGGGCACTTTAAACTAAGGCTTGTTCAGTGAACTTTAGTTCAAAGTGCCCAGCACCATTTTTCAGTGTAGGAATGCTGATACACGTGACATACTGGGTGATTTTAATTAGCGCAGATCTTGGAGCTGAGCTAATTAAAGCGCCCCTCCCACCCCTCCGAGAGCACATGTATAAACGTCCTTAGAGACGATTACTGAAATACTGCATCCAGACCTGCTGTCCACTCTTTAGAAGGAATGTTGACAAACTAGGGAGGGTTTAGAAAAGAGCCACAGGAATGAATCAAGGTATGGAAAACCTGTCTTACATACACAGACTAAAGGATTGTTTATACTACACTGGTGATATGTCTTGGGACCAGATGGCCTGAGCACACCCAAGTCTGCAAGTATGGTCCAGACCTCAAATCTGCTGGTGAGGCTGCTCTAGTCTCATCCTCAGGGCTTATTCTTGAGCCTTCAGTCTCCACTACACATAAGAGCAAGCACAGAGGATATGCTCAAGCAACCTTGTTGACAAACACTGTTGCCGTACGTACAAGTCATAAAAAGCTCAATCTATTTACCGGGACAAAGAGAAGCATAAGGGACTATTTGATCCTGGTCTATAAATACGTCCAGGGGAGGACTTTTTAATATAGCAGGAAAAGAAACATAATAAGGTCCAATGGTTGGAAGCTGGAACAAGCTGAAACCAGAAATAAGGTGTCAATTTTTAAGAAATGAAGGTAATGAAACAATGGAACAACTTATCTAGCAATACAATAGATTATCCATCACTTGAAATCTTTAAATCAAGACGGGATATCTTTCCAAAATATGCTACAGATAAGTGAGGAATTATGGATTGATATAAGAATCACTGGTGAAATGTCATGTTCAGATACATCATCATTGCATGACGAATATGTCCATGCATGACGAATAGGTCCAAGGAGGTGATACTTCCCCTCTATCGGGCGCTGGTCAGACCGCAGTTGGAGTACTGCATGCAATTCTGGGTGCCGCAGTTCAAGAGGGATGTGGATAACCTGGAGAGAGTCCAGAGAAGGGCCACTCCTATGGTTAAGGGCCTGCAGACCAAGCCCTACGAGGAGAGACTAGAGAAACTGGACCTTTTCAGCCTCCGCAAGAGAAGGTTGAGAGGCGACCTTGTGGCTGCCTATAAGTTCATCACGGGGGCACAGCAGGGAATTGGTGAGTATTTATTCACCAAGGCGCCCCCGGGGGTTACAAGAAATAATGGCCACAAGCTAGCAGAGAGCAGATTTAGATTGGACATTAGGAAGAACTTCTTCACAGTTCGAGTGGCCAAGGTCTGGAATGGGCGCCCAAGGGAGGTGGTGCTCTCCCCTACCCTGGGGGTCTTCAATTGGAGGTTGGTTATGCATCTGGCTGGGGTCATCTAGACCCAGCACTCTTCCCTGCCTATGCAGGGGGTCGGACTCAATGATCTATTGAGGTCCCTTCCGACCCTAACATCTATGAATCTATGAATCATAGTCTCTTTTGGCTTTAATGTCTGAACCTACAAGCCTCCGACATGATAAAGCAATCTCTTGAGATTTGCCCAGCATTCACTTAGGATGTCTTTCTCCTTTTATAGTTTGAAAACATGGCTGTGTGAGACATTTTTGTTTACTTGTTTGGTCTACTGCTGACCCATCTTTTAACTAATCATGAGAGACGGTGTCTGAGTGTAAGCTGATGGCACTCAATATATCTTTGGGTCTGAAACAGAAAGTTTCTCTCTTTGAAGAGTCCCTCAAGCAATTTCACTTCCTAATACTGCCTTTCCTATTTATCACCACCTGATTTCTGCATCCTATTTTTAGTCCCAGATAAGTATAATTACATCAACACTGCAATAAAAGTGATACTGCAAATGAAACCAGAGTTCCAAGGCTGAGGAGTGCAATCTGCGTTACTCCATTTTCAGAGGTAAATTTGGAAAATGCCCAAGCACTATATCCACTCTACAAGATTCCATGAAATTGTGCAGGCTCCAAATAATCATGTAGGCTTCTGGAATGACCACTTCTAGGCCTTTTACTATACAATTTCCAGTGCTCCTTTTTCTTCTCGTTAGAAATCTGGAGCAGGAATTAATCATTTTGTTCCAAGCTCAGGTTAGTTTGCCTCCTGGCTTGGTTCCCAGTCCATCTCCATTTTGTTCCTGGGTTGCAGCCAATGGCTTTTATATTGGAGATATTGTTTCCCTAATTCCTGTTCCCATGTCCTGTCATAAGTCTATATAAAAAAATGTTTTACTCAACCCCCAGCACTTGATACACTAGAAAAAATTTTAAAAACCTCACAAATTTCAGTTTTTGTATTCAGACTATATTATAAACATTTTACCTGAGTTTATATAGAGACAAGAGAATTTAAAATGGTAAGGGAGGGGAGTTACGAGCAAACCAGCATTACAATAGCTGTCTAAGTATGGTAAATCCTTGAGTTATTTTTCATGTCCATTCTACCAGACATCAAATATGATCACAAGGATATGGTAAATAAAGAAGACTGGACTCCATTGTACAGATTAAAACTATTTTTCTTATCTTGTACACAATTATTAAAATTAATAACCATGTTTATCTTTTCCATATAGCCCCATACTAAAACGAAGCCCTGACATCACCAAAACTCCACTGACAAAGTCAGAACAACTTCTGAGAATAGACGACCATGATTTCAGCATGAGACCAGGTTTTGGAGGTATGAAAAATACAGTAGTTGACATGCTCTTTTCTATGACACCATACAGAACAGTGCCAAGACTGTGTGCATTGAAAAGATAGGGTCTTTCCCAGATAACAGCCCTTTTTCTGCCTTGTAAATACAGGACAGATATTTACAAGCATGGGGGAGCTTGCAACAAGAACTTTCAGCAAAAATATGAGAACACAGATAGAGGAATCATCTGCAAATGTTTAATATTCATGGTATCAGTTTAAACTTCCACTGACAAAATACAGATTCAGTCTTCATTCATTTCTAGATGTCAACAAAATCCTTGGGTCTTAATTTACTGTGCCAGTGTTTGTCTACGATCAACTAATGTACCCTATTTGCTGACCTGGTCCTTTAGTTTATAAGAAGAAAGAGTGTACTTAGATTGCTTCATACTAATATTTTGCTCATGGGTTTTTGACTATATGCTATAGCAATCCAAGCTTTTAGAGCAAAGGATTAGGGAGAACGTGCTTTCTTATGACCCACTGGATTAATGAATGTAGTAATTTATTGCCCCTTTCTGGCTGACAGATGGTCATTCAAATCCAGGATACCATTAGACACCCTGATAAGAGAAGCTTTTATTACTAAAATCTCAATATACACAATGCCAGTATGTTCAATTAATTTAAAATGGATTCAGTTACAGGACAGTCCATTAATATAAGCATTAATTATTATAATAAACATTGTGTACTGTGACTGTCAACAGTAGCTAGAAGTTGGCTGAAGTCTGGTGGACGAAGAGGAAATGTACACAAAGGTTTTTAGGTGTCTAATTTACTATTAAAGACCAGTATTCATAAACGTATACATTTATATTAGAGTCTGTATATCTTTTAACTCATCTATATTACCAGGGATCTGGGTTTGTCATTTGCCATGAAAAAAATGGTAAAATCTGGATTTTCTCATTTTAAGGAGAAAAGCTCAGTTCTTCTCATTTTAAGGAGAAAAACCTTTTTTCCCCTTTAAAGGAGAAAAATGTGGGAACTGGTGGGTTTTCCCTTGCAGGCTGGCACAGTTCCCAGCCTGCAAGAGGTTAGGGGGAATGGGAGGAGGGCAGTCAGGCATGCAAATGGCCACCAGGCAGCCTGGGGAGCAGCTTCCCGCAGGTAAGTCTGGCAGTGGTGGAAGGAAGATTGAGGCCCTCATAGTAAGAGAGGGAAGGAGTTGGGCGGGTTGGGGCTGGGGCTGCTGCCCAGCCTTGGCAGTGCATGAAGCTTGGGGCCCAGGACTGAAATGCATGGGCTGGGTGGGGAGTGGGATGGGGCCATGGGTGGCTTGTCCCGGGGATTGGGGGGGTGAGGGGCTGGCTCCCTGCCACTGCGCACACTCCCGGGAGGGCAGGGACGCGGGGCACATGCCCCCCAGATTTGTGTACAAGGTGGGAGCAGATGTGGGATGTCCACTGTGGGCTCTCCACCCTGCTGCCCTCCCTTCAGGGCCTCCGCAGCCTAGTGAGTGGGACCCAATGTAGCAAGCCAGGGTGAGGTGGGGCATCTCAATGCCACTACCATGAGCCCCACACTGCCATGGTGAGGCATCCCCTGATGTTCTGGCAGCAGTGGGAGTGGTGGCATGGAGTTACGCCTCTCACTGCTGTTGGGCAGGCAGGGGGCACCTTGCCATGGTGGCGTGGAGCTCCTAGCGGTGGCAACGAGCTTCCCCACCCAACCCTGCTCTGCCCTGCCCTGCCGCTGGGCTGCTGAGGCCCTGGGGGGAAGGTAGCAAGGTAGGGAGCCCCAACCCACAGTGGGCAGCTTGCCTCCACACCCTGACCATGGGCTCCTTTCTGCCTGTGCTGCCTGAGAGGGAGGAGGAGCTGGGCTCTGCACTCTGTTCCACCACATCAGCCACCGTTTCCTGTGAGTGGCAGCTGGGGGTCAGGGGCTGCTGTGGAGGGCAGAGGGCTGTGGATCCTCTGGCAGCTGGGAAGCCCCTCTGGTAGGTCTGGGTGGGTGGGGGGCTGTGGGTGGGGAGTGAGGGGCACCAGTAGGGCTGGGGGTGGGATGTGAGGGGCACCAGGAGAGTCCAAAGGACTGTGGTTGGGGAATGAGGGGCACCAGCAGAGCTGGGGGGCTGTAGGTCAAAAGTGAGGGGCACCAGCAGGGCTGGAAGGCTGTGGGTGGGGAGTGAGAATCAATGCTATGGGCAGGGGACTGGCATATCAGGGCTGCTCAGCGCCACAAAGCAGTGTGGGGATGGTGGGGGTAGGGACAGCCACAGCTGGACCCACATCCTGGTGAGTGAAGGGAGTGGGGGAAGCTCTGATTTTTCATAATAAAAAACCCAAAATCAAATGCAAAATGTATAGGTACTTAGAATTTGTTTTATTATAATGACTAGCAAATTGCCTGCCAAGAATGATGGGGGGGAAGGGGGGACCTGGCCGGAACACAGCCTTGCATCCAGCCCCATGCTCCCCCTCCCCACCCACTGCAGCTCCTCATCTGGCCCCACTCTACCCCCACCCCTCCTGGTTCTTGGGGTCTGACCCTGCTCCCCACTCTCTCCCCACCACTTTGGGTCTGGCCCTGTTCCATCCCCTCTCCCCCGCCACTTCAGGTCTGACCCCACTCCCCCGCCCCCCACCTTGGGTCCAACCTCACTCCCCCCTCACTTCTTCAGGTCTGACCCCTCTTCCCGCCCTGCTTTGGGTCCGACCCTGCACCCCGCTGTCAATTTGGTCTGGCCCTACTCCCCCCCCACTGCTTTGGGTCCAGCCCTGTTCCCCGCCTTCCCCTCTGCCACTTTGGGTCTGACCCCATTCCTCCCCTCCCCGCCGCTTCGGTCTGGCCCTGCTGCACCCCTCTCTTGCCGCTTCGGGTCTGACCCCGTTTCCCTCCCCCTCACCCACTGCTCCGGGTCCACCTAGCTTGCGCCTAACTGCCTCCCCGCTTCCCACCCTCCCTCCCTGCCCACTGCCTTCCCCTCCCTGTTCTGGGGGGCATCGGAGGGGCACCACCACTGTGACCCCCCTGCCTTTGCCCTCAGGCAGGGAGGCAGGGGGCAGCCCTGCTGCTCAGACAGCCCGGGTATGTTCCATGCCCCCAAACTTCCCCGGCAGCGGTGCAAACTTGGGCCCACACAGCTCGGGCTGTGCAGCCAATTGCCATCCGCTCTCTCAGAGGTGCATGAGCAGTTGGCCAGAAGCATTAAGACAGACAGACACACACACACACACACACACACACACACACACACACACACACACTAAACCTTTTATTATATTAGAATTGAGGCACTGATAGGCTTCCAAATTGCTTTAAACTTTTAAATATATCAATAAAACATTGTGTTCAACTGATACCTATATATATAGTGGCATTTCATTTTAATCACAGAAAAATGTGGATTTTGGGGGTTTAGTCAGAGAATTTGCTGTATTTTTATCAGAGAATTTGTGATTTTTAAACGGAGAAAACCAGGATCCCTTGCTTATTACACTTTATACACCTAACATTTAGAAAGCCAAAGTATTTGGCAGTAACAGAGATAGTAACAATCTGAAAAGAGAGGACAAGTACTGAAGGAGTGTCTCTGAATATCTTCTCTCACAGTGCATCTACACGAGACACTTTACTGCAAAGTAGTGTAGTTTACTGTGCAGTAAGCATGTGTCTACATGTGCACATGCTTACTGCACAGAAAACCTTGCTAATCACAAAAAAATTTGCTACCTGCAAATGCAAATAGCAAATTTACTCATGAGTAGTTACTGTGCGGTAGCACTTGAGTAGGTGCCTGACTGAGAGTGAATCTGCTCCTGGTCAGCTGGCCATCAGGGGGTGGGAGATTGCTCCCTGGAGCTGCTTGCTGCCAGGGCAGGATCCACCACCAAGCCTGACTATGAACTATGTGCCCCTGCTCTGGCAGCAGGGAGCTCCAAGCCTGCTTTTCTTTTTCTTTTTTCTTTCACAAGTAACAAAGGAGGAATTCTTCATACTTTCACAGGTTAATTATCTACTTCAATAATTCATCAGGCATTTTTAACATTATGAAATGATTCTTTCATAGAAATAGCTATGTATTAGCTATTGGGTGAGATGTGAATTACAAAGAGCTTTCTATTATCATATTTACTCAAATATAAGATGGGGAAGATTTCATAGACATTAGGGCTGGAAGGGACCTCGGAAGAGTGCCCATTGCATGCAGTCCCCCTTCAGTGCTGACTCTTTTTCAAGTCATGGTAAATTACTATATTGAATATATTTCCACTTTTACTTTACATATTGAGCAGTGGTGAGCTGTGGGGTCACCATGTCTTGAAATGCTGTTGACTCTTCTGGGGCCCAGTCTAATGAGCTATATAGTAAATCATGAGACTTCTGGCTTTGGACTAATATCATGCCTAGTTTGGTCCTTTGCATAACTGCGATGGTTAAAGGTGACAGCATGCAGGAATGCACATGCACAGTGCAGCTTTGTAACGGGAAAGAGAATGGCGTAATTGTCAAGGTATGTTTTGGACTGTCAAGTGAACCATAGTGGTCACAAGATGGGTCAGAAGAAGTATGTGTATAGTAATATATTTGCCAAAAAAAATTGTACTATATATAAGTAGGTACAAAATTGCTGCTTGAAGGTGTGTCCCTGTGCTTGCAGCAGTTTCCAGAGAAAGGTAAAATGCAACAATTCTGGATGAACTCAGTCTATGGCAGGGGCGGGCAATTATTTTGGGCAGAGGGCCACTTACTGAGTTTTGGCAAGCCATCAAGGGGCACATGACAGGCAGCCAGAGGCAGATAAATATTAAATTTCTAAATTTTTTAGGGCTGGATAGAATGGCTTGCGGGGCCACATTTTGCCCACCCCTGGTCTATGGGTACCCTATATACAAATGACTACAGGTATATTTATTTTAAGGTCAGTGTTTTCAAATTTGCTCCTCGCTTTGGGGATGTAAAAAGGCTGCAGGGGGGCACAGTTGGGGCCAGAGGGCAAGGGGGTTTATGTCTTTGAAACTCCTTTGAAGCCCTGCCCCTGCTTCCTGGCAGAGTCCTGGGACCTACATGGCAGGGGGCGGGGAAGTCAGTCTGCTCCATCACGCAGGGTTTCTCCCAGTGGTACACGATTGCTGGGAGCTGCACATGTGCTGTGGGGAGCCCCGCATGATGTGGGCAGGCTGGCCTGGATCTGCTCCTTGCCACCACATGCAGCGCTGGCTGGAGCTGTGTGCTACTGTGTGGTAGTGCTTGCTCAGGCCAGGAGCGCCCTGAGTACCTACCTCCTATTGCTGCTGCCAGCAGTGGAGGCTGTGCGCCATGGGGGGAGTGTGTGGGGGTTCCCCACACTTCCCCACCTGCCCTCACACCCATACCCTGCATACCCAAGCTCTGTGTTCCTGCCACCCCCTAGGTGCAGGCTCCGTGCTCCCTCCAGCCCCAGCCCCATACTCTGCACTCCCGCCCAGCTGCAGCTCCTCTTCCCCCCACCCCCACTGCTTCCCTACCTGCTACTCAGACCGAGTGCTGCAGCAGGGAGATGAGAAGCTGCTGGACGCTGGGGAAGCTGAGCAGGTCCCCTGGCGACTGCAACAGTAGTAGCATCAGCCCCGCCTGGAAGCTGTATGCTGGCTGGGCCTGGCCCTTCCATGCATGAGGTTGGGAGCAAGGCACGTGGGCTGGGCACGGTACAATTAGTTGGCGGGCTTCCACAGGCCAGATGAAATTGTCTGGCAGGCCAGATCTGGCCCACGGGCCATATTTCGCCTGCCCTGACCTAGGATAAACCTTCCCTAAGTTACATGTATTATAAAACTTCTCATGGGTTCCTCCCCCCATATTTTAAGTAAACTGTGCTGTTGTCACATGAGAACCAAATAATTGTTTTACCCAGTTACCAATGTCAGGCCATTGACAGACATTCATTTGTAGTGCCGCAGAGTTTTGTAGCAGAGCCACTACTTGAAATGTTGGCAGCCTGGGCAGCATAGGAAGAAAGTAAGCACCAACATCCTTGCACAGGGACTATTGTGGTTGTGGTAGCAGCACAGGCTGGTGCTGCCTCAACACAAGATTCCTCAACTCAGGCTGCCGTGGTGGTGGCAGTGCAGGCTCTCTGAGGGGTGCCATTCTGGTGCCCCCTATGAATTGGCACCTGATGCCACAGTTGCCCCTCTCAAGTTAAGCCACTGCTTTAAAGATCTACAGAAATATTTCACATGAATTCCAAAGTTTTCCAACTTCAAATGGTTCACCAATTAAACATACATTTTCCTTTATATTCTTTTGTTTACATTTTCAAGCCCAAAGTTTAATCTGCCTTATTAAAATATACGTATTTTAATTTATTTTTCCAGGCCCTGCAATTCCTGTTGGAATAGATGTACAAGTTGAAAGTTTGGATAGTATTTCAGAAGTTGATATGGTAAGTATTTATCTGACAACCAGTGATCTTAAACTCTTATTTCACTTCCATAAAGGTCAGGCAGAACTGAAAGAGAGAGAACGGCAGCCAATTTGACATTCTATTTAAGAGAAGTTGCTTCCCAAATCCTTGCTTTTTTGGCTTTCATATTGACACACTTCTTAAAAAGGTGGGGTTAGAAACTCTAATAACCAAAACAACATGACTGCCAGCTTTGTAGCCTAGTGCTTTATAGCACAATGCTGGGAGAACTGAAACAATTTCAGTACCACTACATTAGGTAAGTCTTGCATTTGTGAAAGACAGCAGATACTCAGTAGGCATGTCTACATGAGACGCTTTACCCCGCAGTTGACTAATTGACTGTGAGATAAAGCATCACTGTCTACACGTGCTAAGGCTTACTGAGCAGTCAGTTAGTCAACTGAGGGGTTAATTTGCTACCTGATAACCGAACTAGACTAGAATAAGGCTTCAATAGAAAAAGAATGCTTGAAGGCCACTGCTTACCTAGAAACTACCTCCTTTCCATTGAAGGCAAACCTCTCTCCTGTGCAGAGGGCCAACACATGGCCACAGCATCAGACTCCCTCTTAAGTCTACAAAATAAAGCCTAAATAGGATTTCAGTGACCCATGGTGCTGGTACAGGCCTTCGGCCTTGCATGAATTTACATCAGAGTTTTGTTTCATCTTTAAACTCTCACCCACTACCTACAAGTAATTACATTCACTCGGTAAACTTAAAAATTTAACAGAACTGCTGAAATGTTATTATTTGTCCTATTACTTGTTAAACCAGCTATTCCCTTTTTGCCACCAAAAAAAATCACCTCTTGGGAATAAGATATGGTGTACAAAGAAGATTTTCTAAAAAAGATTTTTGAAATAAATTAATTACATGCAACAACATGCTCTATAGAAAGTGCAAGAGATCGGCATCAAAATGCAATATTCAGGCCTGGATCAGAGCTTTTCAGGCTTCTAGATTTAGAGTAGAAAAGCTATTAGAAATACTTAAGCTTTTGTTTCATTTACTTAGGGAAAAATCCTTTTGCAGAAAGAAAAAAAGTTCAAGTGTGTCATTCTCCTAAAGATCTTATTTGGAAGCTTTTGATGATTTCATAAAAATGTAAAAAAAGTCGTCTGCATTCTCCCATCTTTAAAGTAATCAAATGAACCGTGTGACAGAAAAGCCCTTTTGCCTGACTTGGTCCTGTCTCCAATTTGAAACACAGCTTTGTGGCAGCACAGTTAGCAGTTCCTAATTAACAGCTTTCAGGCTTTTCCCGACTGGAGGAACAAGCAGCTTTGTTTAGTCTCTGGGGCCAGTTGTGCTCCTAGTGACCTCGGTGACAGAACTCCCACAGACGTCAATGGAAGCATCACTGGTCCTATGTCAGCGAATTCTCTTAAGGCTGACGTCTGATGGCATGGGGTTTCTGAGACAGTCTGTCAGTCAAAAAGGATTTTTCATTCTTTGCTTGAATCAACAAACAAAAAAAAGGAGTCATCCACCCTTTTAACCGGATTTCTTATGCTTCGGGATTTTTGAGGATTTTTGGAGCTGATTTTTTTCCTCTTCCCTTTACAATTAACACCTCCCTTGCCACTCGATGCATGGCTAAACTAAATCCCACATTTTAGCCAATAAAGAGTTTTAGAATTGTGGGGGTTGACAATACTGAAAAATGTCAGATTAAAAAAAATCAGATTTGCTCCAATACTATGAAAAGTAAAAAAAAAAAGAGAGACTATATTGGGCTTATATTTTGTCTTTTGATGTGTTAACTACCTGCCTGCTGTCCCAAGGTAGATACGGCAGCTACAGTATTGCCAACTCTCCCACATGTACACAATACAGTGAAATGGGCCCCCAGTTTTGCTTCCAAAGGGAGGGAATGGTTGGAATCCAGCCTGCTCTCTAGGGCAGTGTTTCCTTAACTTTTGATATCTGGGCAACACATGTTTTCTAAATTAAAACTGGTGGCACACTTAATTCTTACACCCAAAAAATATATACATCTTACATAGGTTGGAACATATATATACGTAAGACTTACATAGTGGCATCCAATTTTTTGACCCCATGGGCTGGATGAGTGGTGCCAGGTTGGTCTGCAGGCTGGATCTGGTCCATGGGCCCAATGCAGTATCACAGAGCTTGCAAATTTGGCAGCAGATGAGCAGTAACAGTTTTAGTTGCCACTGCTCTCCCACCACCAAATCTGGACCTGTGGAAAGCCCTGTAGGCCAAATGATATGGCTTCACAGACTGGATCTGACATTAATAAAATATTTATTTTCATGGCACACTTGCCGCTCTCATTGCACACTAGCATGCCACAGCACTGCTCTAGACAATCTCTGCAGCTTTGAGCCTCCTGTGGGCCTCATGAGGTCCACAGTTCCTCTGAGATCCTCATTCCCAGTTTCTTGTTCCTACCCACTGCAGAGGTTGAAACAGTGGAATGCTTCTCTCACAACCCACAAAAGACTGATTCAGAGTGAGGCATTTGACTGTGTTCTTCAAGCCCCAAATCCCAGTCATGTAATTATTTAAGAATCTCAGCTTCCAAAGCATTGGGTAAGAAATCTTCCATGTTGCTGGGTTTTTGGTTGTAGCTGTGTTGGTCTAAGGACATAGGCAGGCTCTTTGGGTAGATATGGTATCTTTTATCCTTTTTTAGACCAACTAAGTAGTTGAGAAAAAAACTGAGTTAGTTTCCTTCCTCCTTTCCCTGCTTTACTTTTGTTTTCCTAATTTCCACCTATTTACATTCTCACTGACATCCTACCACATTTTTAGCTTCTTTCATTCCTTGGAGTCTCAGAACAGCAGAGACTTCCTATGCCTGAAGAAGGGTAATTGCACCTGAAAGTTTGCAATTTTTTCTCTCAACTACTCAGTTGGTCTAATAAAAGATATCACATCTACCCAAAGAACCTTGTCTGCCTTGGGTAAGAAAAGCATTCAAAGTCAATTTTAGCTATTAGTGAACCAACGGTGAAAGAGATATATACTTTATATAAATTACACAATGTGGCACAGACCTTTATCTGGTGTAAGTCAGCATCATCATGGAAGTTCAAGGGAACTATGCCAATTTATGCCAAATGAAGATCTGGCTCCTTATAATTTTTAACCTTAAAATGAAAAATTACCTATTCAAGAAAAATAATTTGAGAGCACCAAAAATTCTGGGTTCTACATTGTTTTTCATACATAGTTTTTTTGTACCTGGCAACCAAGTCATATCAGAAGCAGACTGCATTAATTTGAAAGGTTTCAGCTCTATTTATTGTCACTAAAAAGCAGTGACAATCTTTCTCATGTAAATACTTCTAACTGGAGTCTGGAGATGGCCTAAGTCCCTCCCCTGCTACAGTCCTGGATCAAACTACATGTTCTCTCCATGGCCCTTAATTTCCAGATCTACCACTTTCTCTATCTGGCAGAGGATTGCAGCTGCATAGTGTGGAGCATCTAGAGACATATAGCTTTTTCTGTGCCTTCCTCCTCCATCACTGGATTAGTCTGTCTAGTAGGGGTGTGCGAAGCGGGTCCTATTTGATTTGGATTCACATTTGGCCAGAATCCAAATCTGAAGATTCGATGCTGACTTGGAGAATCAGCTATTCGGCCATAGACACAGCTTAAATGTTTTTTCTACATACCTCCAGGTACCAGGCGCAGCTTGTGAATGCTGCAATGCTGGGGCGGATGGAGCGTCTCACAGGAGTGCGGGGGGGAGGGCCCTCCAGTCCACTTCCGGGTCCACCAGGGAGCATGTGGGGGGTCCTCCCACATCCCCCCCAGCTTGGTCCTCCTGCATCCCCCCCAGACCCAGGAGGGACCAGTCACCGAGCTAGGGGAGGTGGGGGGGGGGGCCCAGCGCCCTCCCTGGCGGACCTGGAAGTGGACTGGAAGTGCTTCTGGTCCACTTCTGGGTCTGCTGCTGAGCATGCTAGGGAGCCCCCTGTGCTCCTGTGGGATGCTCCATGCACCCCAGCATCACAGCACTCACAAGCTGCCTGCTACCTAGAGGTATGTAGAAAAAACATTTAACACTGTGTCTGTGTCCGAATCTCTAAATCTTTCTGAATCTCTCTGAATCGATTCAGAGGGTTCTGGCTCGATTCAGAGAGATTAAAGGGTCTCCTGATTCAATTCAGATTCAGAGATTTAGCTACCGAATCGGACCAAATCTCTGCCGAATTGAGTCAGGGACTGAAGCTTTGCACAGCCCTACTATCTACAGGTAGATTTTCCATTTAGAATTCAGTTTTCCATTTGGATGATCTTTGATTTCTAAAATAAATAAGTCTCTTTAATAAATATTGGGTCTTAGGTAATCTGGTCTCCAGTAGTTTAAGGAATGGGAGTGACATCAGTGACACTACAAGATGTAGTGCTTAACATGTAGTCTATGAAGGAAGAAGGAACTACTGAAAATTGCTATTCCAACTGAAATCGGTGCATACATATCTATATACTTGTTTAGACAGCTAATTGCTGTGAAATGCTCTTCCCAAAGAATAAATCATAATGTGAAACCTTTTTCTTTCAGGACTTTACTATGACCCTGTATCTCAGGCACTACTGGAAAGATGAAAGACTGTCCTTCCCAAGTACCAACAATCAAAGCATGACATTTGATGGCAGACTAGTGAAAAAGATCTGGGTCCCTGACATGTTCTTTGTGCATTCCAAGCGCTCCTTTATCCATGATACTACGACTGATAATGTCATGCTGCGGGTCCAGCCTGATGGAAAGGTGCTTTATAGCCTCAGGTAAAGTTGCTCTCACCCATGACAGTGATGTTAGTGGAATCAGAGTAAAAGGACTTTAAATCATTTCCATTATTTTATTAGATACAGCTGTGCTCTTACTGACTTAAACAGTTTATGCATTTCCTCCAATGACTGTTGCTTGTAAAAAGCTTGTAGAGTCCTGCAGTAAGGACCAGACCTGGGTCCCCTCAACCCTGCAATGAATCCCATAAGCATCATGCTATAGTTAGGCTTCTGCTTGCTCTTATTGTTGTCTAAAGAAACTTGAATTCTCTTCTGCCCAGTGGATGGACTAGCTTTCCCATCTAAAGTAGCCTGCAGCCCGGCAATTAGAGCACTCTCTGAGAGTAAGACAGACAGGTGTTTGTATTTGCTAAGACAGACGAGGGAACTGAACACTGGTCTCCCACATCCTGGGTGAGAGCTCCAAACACAGAGCTGTTGGATAAGGGGTAAGCAGGTGGAGCACCAGCACCCACAGCTCTATTTTAAAAGGAAGTGGTGGGCATTGTGACACATTGTGTGCAGAGCCCAATCTGTTAGTTATACTTTGAAAAACACCTACCAGATCAAGACCTTCTGAGGACACAGTGAGGGACTACCTACGTACAGAATCCTGATTGGGCATAAACATGAGCTGTTCAGCCCTGTTCAGCTGTTCGAGAACTTCAGGCACTTAAGAAACTTAAACTGAGGAGCTTATGGAGTTTAGCTGTCCCTTTACTCTAGACATGCCTAAACAGGACTTTCAAGGTTGCAGTTTTAGACTTTGGAGGAAGTTGGGTGCCTAAATCCAGCTTCAGGGTGTGCGGGCCGGGAGCGGTCCGAGGCCCTCGGGGGCCTGTGCGCGGCGGGCTGTGGCCAGCAGCCCGGACACGCCGGGTCGGGGAATGCAGGCCGGCGGGCTAGAATTAGGCACGGACGCTTAGCGGTTGATTAAAGATTATTTTACTTACACCGAAGATGGTCGCAGTGCAGGCAGGAAAACTTGCTTGGGTTGCGGTTACAGATAGAAAAGAAGAGAGGCGGACAAGAATTCCTTCCACGCGAACCTCTAGCCCAATCCGGCTGAAGGCTCTAAACATGCAAGCCCGTCGTGTCAACTGAAGAAAACAACTCGAAGCAGAGAAAGAGCTCTGGATACACTCACACAAAGTTTGCTAGGCTCCGTGGAACTTGCGCGCAGGGAAAAAGGGGTTCATCGAAGGATTGCGCTCGGCGACGGGGAGAGGCCAGAGGTTGATCAGACCCCT